GTGTTTGCAATCATTTGTTAAGTAACAAATTAAATATGTTTATCCCCTGAATTTGAAAATGGGTCTTTGTGATGACAGTATGTTAACTTAAATAGGCCAGACTTCATTAAGGGACTGTAATGCTCAGTAACTGGGAAACATGACCTTAGTGGAAATTAAACCTGGGGAATTGAATCTGACAATTTGGGAGGGACTGTAAGACCATGCTGAGTTAATAGGTCTGTGAGAGTGAATTCTGCAAAGTGAACAGGCTGATTTTTTCAAGATTGTATATGAGGAAAAATTATGTCGATAATTAACACTTCCAATGCCCAGGGCTGTGCTTTCATTTCTTATGTGGTTTCAGTAATCAAGAGAGCAAAGACATTCTGTCTTATTTTAGCCTCTTTAAAGGTTTTCATGATTTCTGAGTTCCAAATAGATATTTTCTTCTTATAACTTAAAAAAAAAACCCAGGGAAGTAAATATTGTGCTTTATTTTTAAGGATCATTCCAATTGATGGAAATCTATACTGCTGTTAAAGATTCAAAGTAATTCGTTATGGGAGTGATTGCTTCCCATAATCTATTAATGCATTATTGATTAACCACAAAGTCGATTTTTTATTAGTAAACATTTCCATGTAACATCATTGACCCCACCTCCCCTTCAGTGTTTTGTTTGTTTGTTTGTTTGTTTTTTAACTGGTGTGGTTTTAAGTTTATTTTATTCCAATCCCCTCTCCACAGATTATGGAAATATCTCCAGCTATACTTTCCCGCTTTCAGCAACACTGAACAGTTCCTATTTGCTTTTTATTATTAACATTCACTAGATAGTCAGTTTTATCAACCTATCTAATTTTTTTGTGCTATTCTGACTCTATAAATTAAAAAGCTACTTGCTATTCTAATGAGACCTTGTATGACACTATAGGATAAACAATGGACTGATAACTGCAAAGTTGGTGGTTCAAAACCATTAGCTGATTCTTGGAAACCCTACTACACACGGTCGCTTTGAGTAGGAATTGACTTGATAGCATTTAACAACCACCACAGAAGCTACTCTAGTGGAAGGAGCCCTGGCAGTACAATGGTTAACCAGTAGGTTCTCACGTCCTAGTGGGTCAGTGGAAGAAAGATGTGGCTATTTGCTTCCATAGGGATTGCAGCCTGGAAGCCCTCTGGGACATTTCTATTCTACCCTTTGTGGCCACTGTGAGTAGGAATGAGCTTGAAGGCAATGGGCTTTGTTCCATTTGTTGGTTCTGCTATTCTGATGAGGAAGTACTTGATTGGTGTACATGGTTAAAAACCAAGGTTCGCAGTTCAAACCCACTCAGTCATTGTCGAGGTCCTATGTCGGGTTCTAGCCTCAACAAGGAAGTGTGGATGTCACGAAGAAGGGAGATCTGGTGGCGAAAGGGATAGAGACAGAGAGAGATGAAATATATACAAAAAAGACAGACACACAGATATGTTGCAAGCTGGCAGGTAGACAGATCTGCAAACATATT